TAAGTATAATAAAATTGATTATCATAACTGCCCAATGCAACTGTTTTTAACTACTAATTATGAAGAAAAACTCACTTTGTTCAAAAGCCAAAAAATAAAAGCAAAAAGGCACATGACAAAATTCCAACCAAAAAAAAAACTGAAGTGCAGAGGTAAATAAAAAATACAAAAGTTGATAGTTTCACTTTATTAAATATATCTGTCAAGTAACTTATTACAGTGTGAGCAAAAATAATGTTGCACTGTACAAAACATTTGTTGAGTTTTTTTTTCATCGAGAACAAAAAAAATCTTACAATATGTTCAGGTATGGTTGCTACCGACCAATATAACATTATGAAGAAAATAATCAGTCCAACACTTTTAATGAAAAAACTTAGAGAACACCTTATTGTACCAAAAAAATCAATTTTTTTTTATTTTTTTATTTCTCAAGCATCAAAGAACACAATATATGGAAAAAGATACATGAAACCATCAATTATGTAATTATAGGTTATATGAATAATACTACAGCATAATAACCATCATGAATGACATCATCTAGCTACTGCGGTGACAACAACAGGGGCGTGCGTGTCTGCCGCAGGGAAATCCACAGTAGAATAAAATACTTAATGAAGAACACTCGTCCGACATTTTCGTTGGTTAATATATTCACAAAAAAATCAAACGAAGTCATCGGAAAAGATAAAAACAAAACGAAAAAAACCACCTGCCCTTCGGTGCAAAGGCAGAGTCCTGGCTGTGGCATCAATTCCTGTCACTAGTCACACAGAAACATAAAACAAGAAAATGAAACTAGAAAAATCAAAAGCAAAAAATTCTCTCAATTGAGTGACATTCAGCATTGCTTTTTACTTCAAAGAAAAAAAAGATAACTCATTTTAGGATTTTGGAAAATCATATGCTTTAAAAAATTATTTATTATAATAATGGACTTCCAGTTTCTACTAAAATACAAACAGAGCTCAAAAATTTTTAAAGTGCAATAAACATAAAAGAAAATAATGTCTGAAGACAACTACACCAGAGATCTAAGCATTTAAAATGCATAGCACATTTTTTCTGGAAATGACAATAAAGCCTGAATATTTCATGGTATAAACAATATCATCTTAACTTTTTTTTGTTTAGTTTTAAACTAGTGTTTGTAGCCATCGATGCAACATCTTAAGAAGGTTTATGCACGATGCCACTTCTCGTGTGGGAAAAATGACCAACAATGACTTGATAGAATACATAATACACTCTTACAACAAAAATAAGATGATGAAAACTTTCTCTAAAAACCATGGTAATAGGTTGATAGCTCTGTGTATTTTTCCTCTTTTATTTTAGTATTTCCATCTACAAAAAACATGAAATTGCTTTGTGTAATTCCTTATTTGTTTTGTTTTAATCTTTCATCATGTTACTTAATCCTTACTTATTTTTTTGTATTTTTTTGCTTTTTTTTGTTATTCATTGAAAGAGCTCCCCGCGTGAAAGCCATTCTTTTTTTCCTTGTCACTCATAGAACACGTTTTGTTGTTGTTGCTGTTGTTTAACACGGGGCTGGGCTTCAGTACCTACTATAGCCGCCGCCACCAGAGTTATTACTCATGCCGGAGAACGATGTGTAATTTCCCCCACTGAAGGAAGGCGTGGAGAAGCTGTAGAACGAGGATTGGCCAGCCGCATCATTGGAGTAGCCCAAGGAACTCCCGCCACTGCCATACCCACCTCCGTACCCACCGCCATAGCCGCCGCCGCTGCCGATCGGGTTGTAGCGGTTGGCGGTTCGGTCCGGGGCTATCTTACCACCCTGCTGGTACGGAGGTTAATTCTGTTAGGACGCAACAGTTGAAGGAGAGAAAGAGAGAGAGAGAGAGAGACAGATGGATAGTAAAAGGAGTCAGAGAAAGAATGAGATGTGAGGCAAAAGGGGATTGATTGTCTTAAGTGAAAGAGGGAGAGAGCAATGAGGAGGAAAGAGTGAGTGAAAGAATGAGGATAAATAAGGAAACCTGTGATGGACAGCTCTCTTTCTCATCACAATGTTTATTTTGTTTTCATGAACTAAAAACAACAGAAATACAAAAACAAAGAAAAATAAATTAAAACATGAGCTTAGTATACAAATATATATCACTATAAAACAGCTAATTAGACAAAGAATCTTAAGTGTGGGTAGAAATGCATGACAAGCCTCCGTAACTATAGATCACGTATATGATATCTTAAAAGAAATAAAAGATTACAACAGAACACTGGCATCTGAGGTTGACTCCCTTTACTTGTGTCTTCAACGTGACTAAGTCCATTAAACCTCTGAACAACTCATTCTTTGTAACACATGACATGAAGCAATCATCAGAAAATACAGCTAACTGTAAGAATTTGCCTAGAACATTCAATCAAAGAAAAAGGAATATGAGAGAGAAAATGACAAAGAAAAAAAATGGAAGAAAAATAATAATAAAAAAAGAGTAAAGATCATGCTTCAAATAAACATAAATTTGCGATACAAAGTGCAGTGAGAAGCTCTACCAAAAGGGGTGATCATAACAGCAAGAACCAACTGCCACAGTGTAACTATCGCATTCAAAAGTGCTATCCAGCAGTGCACACACAAGCAGGCTGAATGCGAAACCAACACCTTATGAACCTTTTAATTAACTTTTCTAGCAATGGCTATCCAACAAGTTTTTGTTTGTTTTCCAATCAGATCAAAACACACTGTATTGTATATCTTCTCTGCCAGCATTTACTGAGAAGGTTCATAATGCCTAGTGTGCTCCCAGATAAGGTGTAACAGATGGTGGCTAAATATATTAATTAAATATATATATA